TTTTATTATTAATAAAATAAATATTAAAAATGGAAAAATAGACAATTTCTCTACTCTGTCTGGAGTCAGTTCAGATGTATGGTGACTGCATGTGACAAAATGGAAGTCCTTCATATATTTTTCCAAGCTGTGATCTTTCTGGAAACAGACTGCCAATCTTTGTCCCATTTTCTACTGGACGGCTCACAATGCTGATTTTATGTTTAGCAGTTGAGTGCTTCATTGTTGAGACACCAGGGCTGGTAATAACCAGGGCTGGACTCTTACTGCCTCAAATAACTCCACTGGTTGAAAAATATACTGGCCATTGATGTACAAAGATTTACTATACTCAGAACATGGTGGATTAAAACAGTTTTAAAATTGCACTTCAGACTCATATAGGATATAGGTTCAAGTCTTACCCCTGCTTTTCTTAGTTAACTGGCAATGGAAACATTTTATATTTTTTATTATTGCTGCTACTGTTAGGTGCCACAGGGTTGGTCCCAATTCATAGTGATACTATGAACAATAGGAAAAACGACTGCCCGGCCCTGGTTCTCCTCAAATTGTTGATACATTTGAGTTCACTGTTGCAGACATTGTGTCAATCTCTCTTGTTAAGGATCTTCCTCTTTTCTGCTGACCTCCTCCTTTACCAATCATGATGACCCACTCTGAGAAATGACCCCTCCAGATAACCTGCCCCATATGTGAGGTGAAATATTAGCATCTTGACTTTTAAGGAACATTCTGGTTGAACTTCTTCCCAGACAAACTAGCTTGCTCTTTTTGGCAGTCTGTGGTCTATTTTATATTATTTGCCAACAAAACAATTCAAAGGCAACCATTCTTCAGCCTTTTTTATTCATTATCCAGCTTTCACATGTAGATGAGGTGACTGAAAAGACCACAGCTTGGCTCAAGTATGCCTTACTCCTCAAAATGACATATCTGCTCTTTAATACTTTAAAGAGACTCTTCGATCTTTTGATGAAATGCCACAGATTTTCCTAATGCATTTCATCATTTAATTACAGGCACAGTGCATGAAGTGTTGGGTTAAAAACTAAAATGAAGGCAGTTTGAATCTACTCTCCATGGGAGAAGGGGTGCATCAGTCTCCTGTGGTAAAAATTTCCATCCTAGGCAACCCTGACTGAGGGCTGTGAGCAGCTGGACTTGACGTGCTGTAGGTCTGGTTTTTTTTCTCCTGGGCAAACTGCCATTAATTCTTTCAGATCCATCTGAAATTCAACTCCTCTCTGATGCCTCCCTGGCTCAGCAGGTAGGGTCAGGTACTGGAACCCAGCAGCTGGAGAACAGACACCTTATCCAAAAGGGTGTGTTCCTGTCTTCTAGGTGTGTACAGGCGGTGCTCCCCCTACACCGTGAGCTTTCTAGCGATGTGGCTGGGTTTTGTTTTCCTCCTTTGTAACTCCCTGTCCCTCTAGCCTCTAGCATTCTATCTGGGCATAATAGGCACCTATTGATGCAGGCAAGAAGCCAGGCAAACAAAAAGAAGAAAAGAAAGAAGCCTCCTCCCTTGCTTTGGGTTTCCAGGAAAATCTAACATACTACACAGTTTACTTGTTTCTTTAATCTCTCTTCTCCCTACTTGAATATAATCTCCATGAAGACAGATGATTTTTTTTAATAAAGACACAGATTTTTTGTCTTTTTGATGGTTTCTTGCCTAAAACAGTACAGATTAACAGAATACACTCAGTGAATATTTGTTGAGTGAATGCAACAGGAAGGCAGAAAGGAAAGAAAGGATGGAATGTAATTTAAATGAGCAAAAGGAGAAATATTCTTCAGTCAGTTTCCTGTGATAAGGGGCACTCAGAGAAACAGGGTGCTGACATCAAATAGGTTAAATCCCCAAAGATAACATAAATATCATCAGGTCATTTAGTCCATTAGTCCTTTGGCTTAATTGTTTAAGTCCATCTTTGCTTTTCATTTTCTCTTCTTTGTTCTAGGCAAGGAAGAGACCCATAATTACATCTTAGATGGCTACTTGCAACTTTTAAGATCTCAGCTGCAACTCGTTGAGTGGAGTGTAGAACATTGTGTTTGTGTATGAAGTTATACCAGTTGATCTTGATGTCTCCCATGATGATGGTCCAAAGACCTAGAACCTGTAACTCACCCTCCCACTGCCATGCAGTCAGAACAGATTCACAGCTCACCTAACAGTGGGTTTTCAGAGGCTGGCAATCACATGGAAGGAGACTGACCATCTTTCTCCTGTGGAGCAGCTGGTAGATCCGAACTGCCTGCCTTCAAGCTGGCAGCACAACCTCTTACTCAATAGGTCACCAGTCTCCAGAACTGGCAACGAGTCATTACCTTTTTAAACTTTTAATTTTGTAATAATTATGCATTTAAAGAAAGTTACAAAGATGCATCGAAAGATTTACTGCTCCTTTCATTCCATTTCCAACAGTGGTGACATCTGATGCAGCTAGCTGTAGCACAGTTACAAAATCAGCAAGTTGGCACTGCCACATTTGTGTCCAGTTCTACCTAATTTTATGACGAATGTAGACTGTTGACCAGCCACTCCAATCAGGACACAACTACTCCATCATCATATAGGTCTTCCTGATACCCACCTACTGCCCCTACCATCCCTAACCCATAAAACAAAAACCAAACTATGGCCAACAAATTAATGTTGACTCATAGTGAGTCTACAAGACCAAAAAGAATTATCCATAAAGTCTCGAAGGCTGCCATCTCTATAGGGGCAGACTGAACCAATTCACAGATGAAATCTTCAGGAGGTTTGCAGACACTATAAATTAACTTCACAGGAGGAGATTGCCCCCCTTTCTCTCCCGGAACAGCTGGAGAATTTGAACCATCTATCTTTGGCCTGGCAGCGCCAAGTCCTTACTGCTAGGCCACTAAGAGGGAAGGCCGAGGTTAGGGTAAAGCCTGGACACAAAACGCACAGATGGCCAAGAGCTTTCTTTTTCTACAACCCACCTGGAACGGACCCTTGTAGGCAGCCTCTGTTATTACCCTGAGCCTACTTGGAAGCAAGGCTCCATATTTTGTTATGTCTCAAAAAAAAACAACAACAACCCAACCAAACAAACCCAAAAAACCCAACCCCACAACAAGCTATTCTCAAGTCTTACTAGTTTGCACAGAATATTTTACCAACCATCTTATGGAGTGATGGAAGTCACAACAAATTGGATGTTTCGAGTTTCTTCTCAAGTCCTCTCCCTCCCCCCTCCAGTCCTCTTTGGCCTCCATATTCCTGGACCATTCATGCCACCTGACAAATCAGCCCATTTCTTTCTATTTCCCCAAATAAAAACCAAGTCCATTGTCATTAGGTCGATTCTGAATCATTGTTGGGTGTTGTCAATTCTGATCCACAGTAACCGTACCAGACAGAGTAGAACAGCACAATGGGGCTTCCCGGGTTAAAATCTTTATGAGAGGGAGCTCTAGTGGGATAGGGATTTGTTTCCCCAATCCAAAGGCTATGTCTCTCTAATGGCTCAAATCCACCATTAGAGCCCACTGCAGCAGTTACCACATCAATCAAGTGTCTTCCTCTCCTCTGCTGACCCTCCACGCTTCCAAGCATCATGTCCCACTCCAAGGAATAGCCCCTTCGAACAATATGTCTAAAGTACGTGAGGCAAACTTCATCATTCTTGTCTTCAGAGGGCATTCCAGCTGCACCCTCTCTAAGACATATTTGGTTTTTGGGTTATCTAAGGGATGTTCAGTGCTCTTCTCCAACACCACAGTTCAAAGGTGTTAACTCTTTTTCTGTCATCCTTATTCATTGTCCAGCTCTCAAATGCACAGCAAGTGACTTGAAAGACCATGGCCTAAATCAGAAACACTTCTGTCTTCAAACTGACATCATTACTCTTCAATAATCTGAAGAGGTCCCTAACTGCAGACTTTCTGAGTGCATTGTATCTCTTTATTTCCTGGCTGCTGGTCCTAACAGTGTTAACTGTGGATACAAGTAAGATGAAGTTGTTGACAGTTTCAATCTCTTCTCCATCCATTATGATATTGCCTATAGATCCAGTGGTAAGAATGTTTGTTATCTTGATACTGAGATGCAATCCATACTGAAAGCTGCATTCCTTGATTTGCAACAAGTGTTTCAAATCCTCCTTGCTTTCAGCAAGCAAGGTTGTGTCATCTGCATAACAGAGATTACTGATGAGTCTCCCTCCCATCCTGATGCCCCATTTCTCTTTATAGAGTCCAGCTTCTCAAATAATTTGCTCAGCATACAGATACAATAGGTATGATGAGAGGATACAACCCTGACACACTCTCTTCTTAATTTTAAACCCTGTAGTGTTCCCCTGCTCTGTTTGTACAACAGCTTCTTCGTTCAGGTATAGGTTTCAAATGAGCACAACTAAATGCTCTGGGATTCCCATCCTTCTCAATGTCAGCCACAACTTGTTATGATCCACATAGTCAAATGTCTCCGCATAGTCAATAAAGCATAAATAGAATTTCTTCTGGTATTCTTTACTTTCAACCAAGATCCATCTGACATCAGCAGTGATATTCCTGGTGCCAGAGCCTCTTCTAAATCCCAGTTGAACTTCTGGTAGCTCCCTTTCTATGTACTGTTCTAGCCATTTTTTAGTGAGCTTCAGCAGTATTTTGCTTGCATGTGATATCAATGATATTGTTTGAGAGTTTTCCACATTCAATTGGATCACCTTTCTTGGGAATGGGAACAAATATGGACTTCTCCCAATCTGTTGGCCAGAGAGCTGTCTTCCAAATTTCCTGGCACAGACTGGTGAGCACATCCAAGGCTGTATCTTTTAACTGAAACAAGTCAATTCAGTATCCTATCCGTTCCTAAGGTCTTATGTTTTGCCAATGCCTTCAATCCAGCTTCCTTTTCAGAGAACAGAGAAATAAATATCACCAAAACCACAACTTCATTATGAAATCAATGCTCTCATCTCTTTGGTTTTACTTTCTATGGCTTTCACCCTTTGCAGGTACTGATTCCGGGATTGGTCATGGCTTGGCCAAGTACCTGGATGAGCTGGGCTTCACGGTATTTGCGACAGTGCTGAACGAGAATGGATCAGGAGCAGAGGAACTGCGAAGAACCTGCTCCTCTCGGCTCTCCGTGATCCAGATGGACGTCACCAACTCAGAGCAGATACGAGAGGCCCGGAGAAAGGTGGAGGAGAAGGTGCAGGACAGAGGTATGCCTCCAGCTGCGTCTCCCATCTTGTCCACTCCTCTTAGCCTCCAGAATTCCCTCCTCACAGACACCTGCCTCTGCCTCTGTCCTTTTGTTACCATCACTCTCTACTCACTTTGGCCACTGGCTGAGCTTGAAGACATGTCTGCTAAGTGCCTACTGTATACTCAAGGCACAACTGCCACTCAGTTCATTCCAACTCATAAGACTGTAAACTGTATTAGACTGATTTCTCATTTTTCTCCCTCTGGTGGACTCAGACTGCTGACCGTTGGGCTAGCAGCTCCATGTTGTTGTGCTGTTGCTGTGTACAATGGAGTTGTGACATCCATAGCTGACCCTCCTGCAGGTTTTCGGAGGCAGCTAATTATACAGGAAGAGACTGCCCTCCTCCTGCAGAGCAGCAGGTAGCCTCAAACCACATGCTTTAGGGTCTGCAGTGCAGCTTCTTGCCACTAGGCCACTAGCGCTCTCAAGGAACATATGTACCCTGAGGAAAACAGAACAAACACGCAAATAGGAGATCTGTCCACCAACTTCTTTACTGTATACCAAGGACTCCCATAGTCATTAAGATTAAGAGGTCTTAGATTTAGTGGGCCCTGCAAAACCCCATAGTACTTGCTGGTTTTCTCAGTAAACTGTAAATGGTTCCAACACCAAGATGTGCTCATTTCATTTCGCACACACAGCTTCCTTCCTCTTTCTGAAATGTCTGGCTCTCCTCTACTCCCTTTTGCTAAGCTTTGTGCCTCTGTCCAGCTGCAGAGCTATCCACAGAAGACCCAGCTCCAGCACATTGTAACCTTTGCATGGCCTTCCTGAAGGCACACATTCACGATCTCTTTAATTCACCCATGTGCCACTGTAGCTATCTGTTTATTTCCCACTCCTCACCACCAGGCATTGTGAGGGTGAGAAGTCTGTAGCCACTAGGACTCCTCTGGATGCAAATGACAGAGCCTCATCCAAGCCTGCGAAAGCAAGAGAGGCAGTGAACCTGGTCATACCATGGGCAAGGCCAGCTGGCTTCAGAGGGTTGGTTCAAGTGTACAAGGCACGTGGTTAGTACCCTTTCTGCTTCTTAGCCTTGGTGGCATAGTGTGTAATGCACTGGGCTACTAACCGAAAGATCAGCAGTTTGAGTCCACCAGCAGCTCTAGGGAGGACGATGAGCTTTCTCCTCCTTTATAGATTTAAAGCCTAACAAATGTTAGGGAGGGTTAACGACAGCTTTCTCCTCCTTTATAGATTTAAAGTCTAACAAATGTGAGGGAGGGTTAACAAGCAGCTTTCTCCTCCTTTACAGATTTACAGCCTAGCAAACGTGAGGGAGGGTTAATATGAGTTGGAAACAACCTGACAGCGGTGGACTTTGATCTGTCTCTTAGCTGAATCTTCTCATGTGTTTGCATTATTCTGGAATTTCCTATGAGGCCTTCAGTACGTGCAGTGTACATCCTCTTTACAAGCTAATGTACTAGCTAAAAGAGAATAATGTTATCTGTTTCTATGGATAGTTAGAAGACTTGTTGTTGTTAAGTGCCGTTGAGTCGGAGGCGACTCATAGCGACCCGATGAACGAAAGCCCTCGACACTTGCGTGACTTTCATCCTCTCTCTAGATTCATAGGGTTTCATGAGGCAAGCTATTTACAGAAGTGGATGCCACTCCTGCTTCCAAGCTAGAGGATTAGCCAAACCAATAAACAAGCATGAAAAACCCATTTGTTCATTGTCATTAAGTCAAAACCAACCCACAGCTGACCTCCCACTGAGTTTCAGAGGCTGAAAATCACGGGGAGAGATTCCCCCTCTTTCTCCCGTTGAGCTGTGGTTGGATTTGAACTGATAGACAAATGCAGCCTTTATCAGTGTAACTTCCTCTGGAAGTGGCAGGTTCAGTTCCCAACCACTGTCGTACAGTGACCATGGAATGAAGTGATCACAGGGATTGGATTTCTCAGGGCATATGACGTTCACACTCTCACCGCATGGTAGTGAAGTTCTGAGCTTGTAAGAGCATTATGGAAAAGTCTGAAAAAAATTGTGACATGGATAAACAGGAGTGAATACATGTTGTTGGGAAACTGATGACAACAGATGCAGGGTGGTCACAAACCTTCAATCCGTACAATATACAGTATCTGTGAAATGCAATTAAGAAAAGAACGGTAAAATGTGTATAAATGTAGATAATTTAAAAGAGCACTTAGAATCAAAGTGAGTACGAGCACTGGCTCCTGTTGCCCATTCATTAGCTTAATGCTATAAGCAGGGGGCTCTGGTGCCTGTCCTGTGTGTGGAGTGGGCTGCGCTGGTAACTCAAAGGCTGAACATCGCTGGCTGTTTGAACGCACCAGTGGCTCCTCAGGGGAAGGACAGGGAGCTTCCTCCTCATGATTTTCAGCCTCAGAAATCCAACAGAGGTTCGCTTTGGGTCAGCACTGACTCAATGGTAATGAGCTGAGTCATCAGTCAGCATTGAATGCAGTCGCTGGTGTACTGCTATGGAACAGATGTCAGACTGGTGGCTTCTCCTGACAACCAGAGATTAGTGAGTCAGACGGTGGGCTGTTGGGTGCAGAGGCTGATGAATCCAAGATTGTCAGGCAATATGGCAGACCACTGCATCAAGTCCAAAGAACCCGAAGTCATATAGTAACAAGGTCGGATGCAACTTCAGCAAAAGAAACAAGAAAATTTTGCTGGAAAACCCATATACATTCGAGGTAGGCCACAGTCCAAAAGAAACTCCCTTTCAACTGCTCATAGCAGAGGAAATTACATCACATCAGATCTCATCAAGGGCATGACTACATTGTAACTATCACAGCAGAGGGTCATGGCAGCTAAACTGAAACAACCTTATCCATCACCATAGTTAACAGAGGTGAGATTAGGAGCTTCAACAAACTGTCTGTTGTTCTAAATCTCAAAGAAATTGCTGTTAATCTCAAGCCTGAGTGTTAAATATTTTTATGCTTTCCTTTTGATCAAGGATACAATAAGCAATTCCAGATAGAACGAGACAAAGAAGGAGAATACTACTCTTTTTTTTAATTAATTAATTAAATAGATAGATAGGTCAGACGTACTAGACTGAGACAGGAGGAAACTCCAGGTCTTTCTATCACCCTGAGACGTCCCGAGGACACCTTTCAGCTAAATAACACACAGGCTTGGGAAACAAACAATATCACCGGTAAGTACTGTGCTGCTTAAAGAGCTACCTGAATGAGACAAAATACTCAACCTTTACCTGAAGGCAAAGATGAGAGCAGGTGAGACTAATAGACACGGAACAAGCAGAAGGGAAATCATGAGAATGTTGATATGCCATGGAAAACAGAGCAAATGTCACTGAACAAGACAGAAGCGGTTACATGAGAACCCAATTATCTGTGTACATATTCCCCCCAGTCATAAAATAGCAACAAAGAAGTCCTCATACTCTCCTGTCTTGCCCATTGTAAAGCCATTCCTCTGTGTCCTTAGGACTGTGGGCCTTGATCAACAATGCAGGGATCCTTGGATTCCCCGCTGAAGGGGAGCTTGTCCCCATCACCCACTTCAGACAATGCATGGACGTGAACTTCTTTGGTCCTGTAGCAGTCACAAAGATGTTTCTGCCTCTTCTTCGGAAATCCAAGGGGAGGCTGGTGAACATCAGCAGCATGGCAGGTAAGTCGGTCTTTGTCCAACAAGAAACTGTGAGTTCATACAGGGCTGGACTGGGGCTAGTCAAATGGAACATTCAATACAAATAGAACCATTCTTTTCAAGTCTTGTCTTGTACAAACAAAATGCCTTCTAGTTAGTCCATTCATGATACATCTTCACAATGAAATGACCAACATACACTCCCTAGATTTAAAAAGAAAAATCTCCCTTGTCAGCATTGTAGGTAACTTGTTTTTAATTCTCCTTAAACTCGGGTTTTTTCCATTGTCCCCAGCAAGATGTGTAAACTAATACTTTCTATTTGCATTGTTAGGGTTCCATGTCTAAGTTCACCACCTAATAATGTTTTTCCGGTGACTGGCAATCACTATGCTGTTGAGATAGGATACACCTTTTCTCTCTCTGGTTAAGAGTCAACAATTTGAACCAAGGTCTGAACGATCTCCTTTTTCCGTGTACTGCTTATGTATATATGTTTCACGTCTCTTCTTTTAGGACAAACGTTTTTCAAACTGTGATTCTTGAAGGTCTTACTCTGCTTTATGTCACACTCATAGGGTGGGCTCTGGGTTCAAGGCGCTCTTTCAACCAGAGGGTGGGAGGTGCTCCTCTGTACTATTTAATCAGTGGTCTCCAAGTAAGCTGCTTCTTTCTAGAAGAAAGAGTCCAACTAGCTGGATTTTTATTTCTAGATTTTTTTTTTTAATGTGACTAATAGTTCTACAGGGATTTCTGTTTGAAGGGTCTTTGTACTTCCTGGACACTTATGACTGTCCAACTTACTTGTTTTCCTGGCTTTGCCCAAGCCACTCTCTTGGAACCAATTGCTTGATGAGTGCGTTTCAGCAGTGTTGTTGGTTGGCCTGGCCTGAGAGGTAAAAGGAAGAAGGTAGAAGGGAGGGAGAAAGGAGGAGGAGAGAGGCAGAGATGAGAAGAATGTGTGTGGGATGGTCAGGAGCAACGAGCATGGTATTTCAGTTTGTTTGAGAATCTCAACATATTATTTCCAATTTCTTTCTGCCTTGCTGAAGGAAAGTAATACTGAAGAAACTAATTTTCAGCACTGGCACTTCATCTTTGTTTTGAATTTAGCCTTCAGATAAATGCCATGTGTGAATACTTCACCTTTCTCAGTTCTCTGATATGGTCTGGTCTTTCTGGAAGTCTAAAGCATTCCTGACTCACTCATGTACTTACTGGAGTGTCTAGTGACTTTCTCAGTGGTGTCACTAGGGTTGGTGTGACCCAGTACAGAACCTTCCACTGGGCAGGGCTGACCTACAAATTCCGCCCCCTTCCACAGGAAGAAGGAACAGCTCCACCCCGGCATGCTGCATGGTATTTCCACACAGCTCCCCGAGCCTCCTACTGTCTTCCGTCAACCGAGACAGAGACCCTCCTTCCTCAGCAGTGGTAGGGACAGTTGCCTGCCTGCCTGCTTGTACCAGAACTGGTGGATACAGGAGTGACAGGAAGTGGAAAGGGAAGATGTAGGCGGCAGTGTGGACGAGTGACCACACCAGGTTTTGAGTGACGCCAACCCTAGCAATGCTACAACTTTACTGACCAACACCACGGTACCAACCTGTCCACCCCTGCCAGTGCAACTAGTGCTGCCAGCACTGCTGTGGACCCTGGAATCACGTTCTCTGTTAGTGTCACTACAACCTTAGGACCCCCTCAGTGACATGACTGCATTTTACTCACCTTGACATACTGACCAGGGAATTTCTTCTATTTGCTCACTGAGAATTTTTATTCTAGTAATCACTTTTCTGTGTTCTATGTACAATATGCCCAATATTGAGTAATTAATTCATGAATGAAGTAAATGCTAGCTTGTGGATGAATGAAAAGTACATGAATTAGTGGGTGAGCAATGCACTCCCAAATGCCAAGCCTGCCATTCACATACCTTCTATATGGCCTTTGAAGTCATCTCTAAACCTGGCTTTCGTCCTCCTTTTAAACGTGTTTCCATGTAGAGGGAATTCTGAGTGTTACAATGAGAACATGCCTCATTTCTGTCCAAGCTCAGTCACTCTCCACGATCAGCCTTACGATTTCCACCTATGTCCTCACCGTGACGACCTAGTCAACATGTCTGAAACAAGATTCCTAGTACTCAGGACTTGCTCTCTTGGCTTCATTCTATCCTCTCCCCACCATTCCACCTTCACGTCTTTGAAGCTCCTGGGCTTCTATCCCCCCAGACCTCTAAGTCTTTTCTCCCATCCAGCCAGTCACCCAAATGTAGGAATACGTCCTTGACGATGCCTAACTCTGAATCACAGTGGCCTCAAGAAACTTTAGGAATAATTTCACTTTTAGGAGTAATTTCACTTGTAGGACTCTGGAGCAGCTAGTAGATTCAAAGCACCTGTCTTCAGGCTGGCAGTGCTAAGCCACCAGAGCTCCCCTATCATCTGGCACACACTTAAGTAAAATGCACAAGGGCTACACGGGAGGCGGTGAGAGGACTACAGACTAGTCCTTTACAGCAGCAAGAAAGCAGAAGAGGTAGGAAGTGTACTTATCATTCAGGGTGGAGGGCTTGTGAGAAGATGGATGGGGTGAGTGTACACAGTTCCTAAGAGATACATACAGTTTCCTTCTGTGGAGAATAAAAGGGGGCACTCCCAGAACATAATGGTGCATTTTGTGAAACAACAGCAAAGATTCCGAGTTAGAGAAGGGGAAAGTGAACTGCAATATCAGATCAGAACAGTCAAGGTTTACCCTAAGTGGTATAAATACATTATCCAGTGGTATTTAGGATAATCAAAATCCTCGCCAATTCCAGAACATTTTCATCGCTCCAAACAGAGATCTTGTACCTATTAAGGACCATCTCTCATTCCTCACCCTTCCCTGCCCTCTACCTCTGACCACCACTGATCTAGCAGGGCTATTCCTGGGAGAGAGACAGAATGTTCAGAAGGGCAGAGCGACGGCAAAGGAGAGGAAGACCCTCGACCAGGTGGGTTGACACGGTGACTGCTGCAGTGGGCTTTAGTGTGTCAGGAAGTGTGAGGATGGCACAGGAGAGGACAGGGGTCAGCCTGTTGTTCACAGGGTCGCCATGAGTCATACTCAACTCGACCAGACAACAACATGGCTGTTCTCAGACATACGGAGTCTGGGATGGTATAGCTAATGCCCACCTCTAAACAAGAATTTGGTGGTTCGAGTATGTTGCAGAGACATTTCAGAAGAAAGGCCTGATGATCTACTTCCAAAAGAATCAGTGCTGGAGACCCAGTTATAGTCTAACATGTGAGTGAGAATGAACTCAGTGGCAACTGATTTATCAGCTATGTAATCCCAGTAGCCCTGTGTAGTAAGGATTAACCAGAACCACCTTGCAGAACACAGCAGAACAGCCCATAGGATTTCCAAGACTGTCGATGTTTGCAGAAGTAGTCTTACTTTTCTCTTTCCCATGGAGCGACTGCCTTTGGATTGGCAGTGCAATCAGCCCTTAGGCCAGGAGAGCCCCCGTGGGTGAAGGTTAGTGGTCCACAGGTCAGTCTGCCATGGAATTTGGAGAGAGACTAATCCATGTGCCCCTGGGACCTTTGGCCCTTGCCTCTGTCTGTGACACCGATGCCTGTGACGCCAAGCTACCTCTGTTCCTATTGCCCTTACTGAACCTCTGGTGTCATGGATAGCAGCTGAATTATTTAACCATTGCACTACCAGGGTTGCTTGCTGCAAGCACTGTTGTTATGTTCCATTGAATTGGAACCAAATGCTATCTGTCCCTCCAGTGGGCTTTCAGAGGAACACACGAGGAGACTGCTTTGCTTTCTCCTGAGGAGCAGCTGGTAGATCTGAAGCTTTGGGTTGGCAGCACAGCTCCTTACCACTAAGACATCGGAGCTTCCTGTACCATTTTCATGTAAGAGTTGTGAAAATCAAGGTTCAGAAGAGTTCAGTGACTGGCTCTCTGGCTAGAACTAGTATTTGAACTATGGACTTGTGTTTTCATGTCCTTCACTATTTGCCTCTTCCCCGATGGCTGAACTGCACCATTTGGAACCACCATCCACCAGCCCCCCAAAGAACCTGAAGTGACTTTCCCACAGGATCTTTCCCATCTTCCTCTTCCCATCAGCCTCACTGACCTTACTCCATTCTCAGGAAGTAAGAGGGTCAATATAATCACAACTAAACCCATTCCCATGGGAGGCATCAGGGTGGGTAAAGGAAGTCACAGCAAGGATGCACCCTTTCCTGCCACATCTCACATCCATAAAGAAAAAAAGAGAGAGGGAGGGAAGAGAGATGTCGTTTGGTCAAACATGCAGAAAGAGTCAAGTTTAAGCCACAGACAATACAGCTGAATAGAGTGATTGCAGACCAGCCAGACTAGCATCCTGTGCCTTCTACTCATAATCATGGTGTGATTTTGGGCAGTTTCCAGAATCTCTATTCGTAGCTTTCTCATTTTAACATGGGAGCTGTGTCGGCCTGCTGGGTAAAGAGATGCACTACCAGCTCAGAAGCACGTTGTTTAAATCCATCAGCTGCTTCGTGGGAGTAAGATGGGCAGTCTCCTCCTGTGTGACTCACAGCCAAATAGCAGCAGGAGGATCAGTGAGTGGGTCCTGACCTAGCAGCTCATAACATCCTGACATGGGGTAACAGAAACAGCTGAGGGAGCAATGAGATGAAATGACGCATGTTCAAATGTCAACACTGGGCTTGGGGCACAGTGACTGAAGGTTAACATAAAAAAACAAAACCAAACCAAAAAGCTAACAAAAGTTCCCCTCAAATTCATTGCCACTGAGTAGGAAGTGACTCCTAGCTGAACTTCCAATGGCTTTTGGGAGGCTTTAAATCACACGAGAGGAGATGTGCCATCTTTTTCCTGAGAAGCAGAGGGTGGATTCGAACCCTTAAAGAGGTGCCGACTTTGGGTTAGCAGTGCAGCTGCCTGAGGACTGGCACCCAGAGCTCTCAGTGAAGGTTGTTGTTGTGAAGTGCTATCGAGCTGGAGCCAACTCATTGCTGACCCTCCAGCGGGTTTTCAGAGGTTGCCAATGGCACGGGAGATTCCTGTAAAGCAGCTCATGGATTCAAACCACCTGTCTGTGGGTTATCAGTGAAATTTCTTGCCCACTAGGCCACCAGAGCTCCCCTGGGTGAAGGTTAACGATCTTAAACCCAGTCTGCCATGACATCTGGCAAGAGACTGATTCATGGGCACCTGTGGCCTTTGGTTCATTGCCCCTGCCTGTGCCACTGAGTTATCTCTGCTCCTACTGTTCATAGCCACACAGCAAAACATGTGCTGATAAACCCAGGAAATACCTCGTCACAAATAAAACCACACCTAGTGTTTCTCTTTCTGTACTGGCAGGTATACCATGTGCCCCACACAAACGGTATAGTTCTTTAACCCAATTCCAGCAAGGCAATCGAGTTAAATGTTTAACTAAGGATTTAAGGTAGGAGGTAGCAACTGTGAATGATTGTATAAAGTGAAAAAAAAAAATCTGTATGTCTGTGAGGGGTCAAGGTCTTTCCTGGCTCTTCTGCATCTTAGGAAATTGCAAAGTAAATATCGATGCCTGGGTGTATGCTGTCCTGGAATGAGAGAAGCTAAAGGTGAATCACAGGAGACAACTCTGGCCTTACGACTGCGAACTGGAGCAGTGGCTTGAGTCTCTGCTCTTGATTCCCTGGCTGATCTTTTTTTTTTAGAAAGCAAAAGGTTTCTTCTGAGCAGTTACTCTATGTGCATGTAGGGAGACAATTTTGATTCCAGCAAAAGCAAATATTTCAAAGCTGGGTATAAAGGGGCTTACATGGAGATGACAAAGGAGTGACAGATGATCAACCACTGACTAGTTTTATATGACTGAGTGGACATTGGCCTCCTTGTTTGCTCAGATCACCGCTGGTGGGTCTTGGGAATTAGACTGCCAGGCCTTTCTGCCCAGTCTATCTAGTGTGGAGCTCTGCTGAGACCAGTCCCCCAAGGGTGACCATGCTGGCATTTGAAGCACCAGCAGCACCACTTTCAGCATCACAGCAACATGCAAGCTGCTGCAGTATGACAAACAGACAGATGGCAAGTCACCATAGTGTGACAAATGGACAGACGGCCAGTGGACATGAGAAAGGTCCTGCAGGAGTTGAACTGGCACAACGACTGCACAACAGGATGTGCAGTGGTTCCGAGCCTGGTGCAGACTGCAGGGTTCTGTGCTCTTCCACACAGGCTACCACGCAGACAGTCAACTGACAGGAAATTAACAAACTCTCTCTGTCTAATGGCTGACCTGGGGCAGTCATCTCACTGACCTAGCTTCCACTTCAGCTTCTGTCAAATGGGGTTATGTTCTGTCTGTTGTAGGGTGGGACTTCTCAACATCAGCACTACTGATTGGACTCATTGCCCTTGAGTCAGAATCAACTCATAAGTGACCTTTATCAGGTTTCTGGGGTTGTAAATGACACCAGAAGAGACTGTCCATCATCGTTCTCCCATGGAGCTGCTAAGGGATTCAAACCAACAGAGTGGGGTGGCCTTTGACTCAGCACTGTTTTGAGGAGGTGTCTTCTGCAGAATAGGGGCGTACAGCAGCATCTGTGCCAATCTCATTGCCTCTGACACACCCATCCTGATTACCCCAGTCACTGAATCAATCCACCTCATAGAGGGTCTTCTCCTGTGCTGTCCCTCTACTCTACCCAGCATGATGTCCCTCTCCAAAGACCTGTCTCTCCTTACAACATGTCCAAAGTATGTCAGACAAAGCCCCAGAATCCTTGCCTCCAACGAGCAGCCTGGTTTAAAATACAGATGGATTGAGAAATTGTGACATACAGTGGAATACTATACAGCACTAAGGAATGATAACGATTTTGTAAAACACTATAAAACATGAGAGAGAACAGATATTGTTTTGCTGAGTGAAATAACTCAGTCACGTAAGGATAAACACTGCGTAAGATCACTACTGTGAGAACAAGATGTGTATAAATGTTTCAAAAAGAAAACAAAGGGGGGAAGGAGGCAGCAGAAAGAAGGAAGGTTACTAGTATAGAAGAGGCTAGTGGTCTGATGGCGGGAGTGAAGGAATAGCAAACAATCTATGAGGACTTTAAGAAGGGGGTGTAATTAATTATATAAAATATAGTGCATGAAAGGCTATAAGCAAATACATTTTAAAAAAAGATGGTAACATGACAATGTTAAGGCATTGGGTAGGAGAAACTGCTCAGTAGGAAAGATTAAATAACATTAACAACTTTATAAATTTATTAAACTACTAATTTCATTTTTGATAGTAACAATATCCCATATTTCGCATAAAATAAACTATGTTACTGCTTCACAGTTTAAAAAATGACACCAAAGTGGCCTTAGGGCCTCTCTCCTGTCTCTGACTGTTAGGCCTCTACCCACGTTCCCAAGGGCAGAGGATGTCAGTGGTCAAACCCCCTCCTCCTGTGCAGGTCCAAGGCAGAAAGATGGCAGTCTCCCCAAGGGACTCACAGCCTCTGAAAACCCTTGGAGAGTCAGCTTTGAGAGTTCTGACTCTACAGCAATGAGATATTTTTTCCCTCCAATATTTTTTAAATTTTATACGGGCTTATTTACAAAATTCCTATACATTGTTTCTCACACCAGATCTTTCCCCTTTCCTTTACCCACCCCTCCCTCCACCCATCACATTGTGACAAGAGGCCTAGGTTTGACTGCTGTCAACACATCGGAAACAGCCACCACTTCTCTGTCTGTACAGGCCTGTGTGTTGCTGCCATGACGGTGAACAGTTTCAGCTGAGTTTCTAGCCTGAGACAGGCTGGGGTGAAAGGCCTGGCGCTCGCCTTCTGAAAACCAGCCAGTGAAAACCTTGTGGATCAGAACAGTCTGATCTGCACTGACAGTGGCGGACAGGGTGGTGCGCCTCTCTGGGGGGGGGGGTCATGAGTGAGGGCTGGGAGTCCATCCTGGGTCTCCTGTATGGAACGTGAGTTCTAGCAATCTGAACCACCAACAGCGCCCCCTACAGCAACTTTGGAACTACCAAGTTAAGCCACTACCTTCCCTGTGTCTGGGCTGGAAGGTCAAGACTAGGATGGAGGGTCTTTGTCTCACCTCGGCCACATTAGGCTTAGAAGCTGGGTGGGCGGGAGATTTGACTTGGGTTCACCCTTGGACCAGCTGAGAGGGAGCCTCTGTGGGAGTCAAACAATGAGATGACTTAGCAGGTGGGCCGACAGGAGGGTTGTCGGTGAGACCATTGCTCCTGCGGCCCAGCCTGTCCTGGTGCTGTTTAAATATCACGGGCACAAATGAATCAGACGTGGTGTTTTTCCTCACTCTTACAGCAAAGATCCGAATGAAGAAGGTCGCATCCTACGCCAGCTCCAAAGCAGCTCTGACCATGTTTTCGGAAGTTTTAAGGCAAGAACTTCTCAAATGGGGAGTTAAAGTCTCTGTCATTCACCCCGGAGGCTTCAAAACAAGTAAGTGTCAGAGTCGTGGCATCTCAAGTCATTCAGGAATACCCCAGACTCAAATCAAACCCACTGCCCTCAAGCCAATTCTGACAGTGACCTTCTAGGACGGAGCAGAGTTGCCCTGGGTCCGAGGCTGTAATCCTTAAGGGAACAGACTGCCTCGTCTGCCTTCCACTGAGTGCCGCGTACGTTCAACTTGCTGTTATGTGGTTGGAAGCTAAGCACATAACTACTGTCCCACCAGGGCTCCCTGTGAATGAATTCATTAGGCCTCTGTTCCCAACAGAGCTCCAACTGAAACCCTCACTGGTTGGCCAGAGAGCACTGAGATGGGTAGATCTCTTCTCTTAGGATGGGCTCAACCTTTGCTTCCTTCTCTGATCCCTGGTTGGTGCAAATGACTATCATCCTTGACAGTTAACTGAAAGATTGGAAGTTAGAATCCACTCAGAGGTGCATCAGAAGAAAGCCCTGGCCTTCTACTTCTGAAAAAAAAAAAACAACCCGTCACATTGAAAACCTGCTGGAGGACAGTTCCACTCAGACCCACACAGGGTCTCCATGAGTCCGAGAAGACTGGATGATGTCCAGAAACTCGGCACATACACACCAATGTTAACAAACGTGTGCGCGGGGAGCCACTGCTGGTGAGGCCAGTTCAATTCACAGTGCTCTCCATTTGGTTTCCGAGACTGTAAAGCTTACAAGGAGGAAATTGCCCATCCACAGAGCACCTGGCGTATTTCAACCTCTGACCTTTAGGTTAACAGCACTACATGTAATGTACTAAGCCACTAGAGTGCCTTATCTGTACACATACACACAGAGAAACCTAATGCCAAGGAACAGGCTCAGGTGACTGTAGGGACTGGTAACTGTAAAGTCTGGAGGGCAGGCTGGAAATTCACGACTGATGCTGTAACCTTGAGGCAAAGCTCAGTTTTTGCTCTTAAGACTTTCATCAGATTTCATGAGTCCTGCTCAAGTTATTGATAAACATCACTTTTACTTGCCATAAACGAACTGTAAATATCAACAACATTTTAACAAAACACCTTCACCACAATACCCAGACTAGAGCTTGGTTAAATCACTCTGGGTACTTTAGCTATGGTGACATACTAATCTAAGAACACCAGATAAAGAAGGGGATAAAGAGTGAGAGGAGAGCTGGCTGAGAGAGGGCAGAAGGGAAGGCGCTCACTTGAGCTTGAACCTGGCAATGGGCTGAAGAGTTTGGTGACACAGCACTCTTTGACTCCAGATCTGAGGATCATCTGTGATGGTCACAGCTATCATTCAGGGCAGGCGGCCCTTGCTCATGGAGCAGTCTGTAGGGAGTGACATGCCAACCCAAAGGCCGACCCTTCCAGTGGTTTGGAGCCACGAGCAGCTCCAAGGGAGAAAGATGAGCCATCCCTTCCAGTGCACTTACAGCTGCAGAGACCCACTGGTAGCCCACCCAAGAGCGAGTCCCACCTGACGGCAATGACTTGGCATTTCTGTGCTCTTCTATGCTAGCCACTTCGCATACATTCTTTCCGAAGCACCTGGGCATACCAGTTCATAAATATGTCCCTTCATCTCGGTGAAAATGTACACAGCCACTTACACATTCAACCATGCCTACAGGCACAATTCAATGGCGTGGACCCCGTCCTCACCATCTCTTCCCATACTGTTTTATCACCATTGATGGAGACTCAGTGCTCCCATACACTATGCATTTACATTTCTGAGGAACTGCTGTCAAGGTATTACTTTTCCAAATTGCAAAACAGACCACGTGCACAGGAGCCACATCACACACGTGCAGTTTAACAAATGCGACCACCAACCACCTAACACCCATGTCCAGCTGGAGGCAGGAGGGGAAAGTAGTTAATGGAACTGTGGTTCACACAGATGTATCTTTCAAGAAGTGGGAGCCTCCAGAGTATTAGTCAGGACAATCACTCCTGCTAGTGATGTGCTGTACCTTCAAGACATGAAATGAGCCACTATTAAGAGAGATGCAAATCAAAACCACAATGAGGCACCATCTCACTCCAGGAACAGTGGCAAAGCTTAGCAGGGCATCAAGTAATAGATGTTTGAGAGGATGTGGTGAGAAAAGAACTCTATACATTGTTGGTGTGACTGTAAAATGGTGCGACCATTCTAGAAGGCAGTTTAGTACCTATTTAAAAAGCTGAACAGAGAAATTCCATATGACCTAGCTCTTCCACTACTTGGAATATACCCTGAGAATATGAGAACTGAGGCACAAACTGAAATTTGTACACCAATGTTCACAGCGGCATTATTCACCATCTCAAGAACATGGAAACAGCCCAAATGTCCAACCACAAACAAATGGACTGAGAAATTATGATACATTCACACAATGGAATACTATGCAGCACGCAGGAGCAATAACTTTGTAAATTATTACCTAACTTGGGAGGGACTGGGGAGCAATATGCTGAGGGAACTAACTCAGTCCCACAAGGATAAATATTGTATAAAATTGTTATTGTAGAATGAGTATAGGGATCCAGGCAGGGTGGGAGGGGCTGGAACAGAGGGATGTGGATGTGCAGGGTCGGGGGAGAGGGGATTAATCATTGGGTTGTACAATTTGATAGGTGGGGGAGTGAGAGAAATTGAAAGAATTTGTTCAAATTTTTATTCGCATTTTGTAAATAAATTAGTAGGGGGGAATAAAAACCCAAACAAAAGAACAATAGGGGAAAAAAGAAAGAATTGAGCCACTAAACCCATTTGTGTTTGTGGGAGGCTAACTGGATTTCACTGGCTTACACTTCTGTGAAGCTCCCCAGCTCCACTGCACAAAGGCCTGTCCCCAGGCCATCTCCCAGAAATCTCAGGCTTCGCAGGAGACTGTATGGACATCTGCAGCCTTTGGGAAAATCACCTGTTATCACAACCCACAACGTATGTGCCCTGCCATCTGACAGGGTGGGCACACCAGGGGAACTCCTGTTTATAAGACAAAAACAGACACGAGACTTTGGCTCTGAGTAGTTCTTCTCAAAGCATTATTTGTAATAGAGAAAGCAGAGGGGACTGGGGCCCATTTCTGGATGTAGCTTTCAAGAAAAATTTATAGAGTAGCATACTCCCTTAGGAGTATGCATTTAAAAGAGGGCTGGGGCACGAGCAGTCAAATGGGCAGTGCTGGCCAGGAGATAATAAAGTTCAGAGGACAGGTGTGGAAAGGAAATAAAGGAAGAATAGAAATGATAAACATGGTGGAGGGGGGAAATGGGAAGACTTTGTGGATTTTACTCAGTGACATGAAATGAAGTTGTATGTGAACTGCTGCACTGAAAACCAATCCTGTTCTGCAGTTTCACTTACATCACAAGAAGTTTGAAAAGATCAGTACCTAAACGGGAGCTGTGGGCTTTCCATCATTCCAGGGGAAGGATTTCCCTGCTGGGATCTTTCCCTCTTTGGAACCCGGCTCACCTGTCTCTCTTCTCTTGTCCTAGATATTGCAGGCACAAAAGAAACGTGGGACAAACTGGAGAGGAGTCTTTTGGATGACCTGTCCCCTGATGTGCTGGAGGACTATGGCCAGGAGTATATTCTTGCCCAGCGAAATATCATCCGCATATTTGACAGAGCGGGTGAGGCTGACTACACACCCCTGCTTCTGGATGTCCACCATGCAATCGCTGCGAAAAGCCCCTTTGCTCTGTATACGCCAGGAAAGTCATCCTTTCTGTGGCATTGTGTCATCTCCCTGGTCCCCACTGTGGTGTTCGATTATCTTTATAAAGAAGTAGATTTCAAGACGAAGCCCAGAAGTCTAAGCATGCCTGTCTGGAAGAAAGCCACATAGGCAGCAATAGACTTCATATGAGGGGGAAATGTTCCCACTTTGAAATTTCAAGTAAAGTTAATTTCTTCTGCCCAGGCATTCCATATGGACTCTATTGGTTGGCTAGGACTCTGTGTTTAAAAGACTGGAACATGGTAGTGACTTCCACTGAGAATGTTAGAGTTGAGCTCCTATTCTGCACAGATACATTTAAAGTATTTCCTCAACTAATTCTTATCAAGGACCTGAGTAAAGTAGCATCACCTCTGCTTAATAAACAAGGGCATTAAAGATTGAGAGGCTAAGTTCTGAGTCCACTCTTCCACAGCTCACAATGACAGAGCTGGATTTCAAATCAAGGGTGGTCCAGTGCCAGCTAGCATAGAAGAGGAAAAAGAGAAAAGGACAGAAAATGTCAGATGGCTCCTCAGTGCCCTTCTCTCTTTTCACTGGTTTTGTCCCTGTCTTCACAGTGCCCCTGCCACTTTGTGTGTCTTCTCAAGTGTATGCTCTTCTTCTGAGGACTCATCCTATTCCAGCATGATATAAAAATATCCCATTTCCAAATAAGATCACATTCTTATGCAACGGGGCTTAAGATTTCAGCAAGTTTCATTTAAGGGGATACAACTCAACCCACAACAGTTAGTCTCCTCAGGGAAGATGAGAAAACACTTAGAACTGAGACTCTGGGTGCCTGAGAGGTGGTGGTGGATGCCTTGGTTAGAACTCAGAGACCCTGCAGCAGGGGCCACTGCATGGGCAGATGAGCTGAGGGCTCAAAAGAAGATGAGAAACGACAGTGGGAGGCGATGGAGACGAGACAGACACTCCTTGCTGGGAGCGACCTCTAAAACTAGAGAAGCTGGAGGAAAAGGCGGAGTGAAGAGAAAGAAGCGGAAGGGAGGCATATTAAATTCAATTGCATATTTGTCCACAAGACCCCATTTTAAACCAAAGAAGAATAAATTAATGGAAAATACTAATGCAGTTCTTGTTAAATGCCATCAAGTAGATTACCACTCACAGTGACCCTCTGGGCAACCTTCCCCTATCCTCTATATGAAGAAGTGTTCAAATATAGAAATATTTTGTTAATTAGCTTAAGACTCATAGCTTCTCAGAAAACAAAAAAAAAAATAAGTATTGTGCACAAAAACAAACCATACTTGGGCCACTTCTGAACTGGAATGGGTGCTCCGGGTTCCTCCTCTAACGTAAGAGAGGCAAAACACCAAATTTCCATTCAATTACTAATAATTTGTCACTGATAATGTTATAGTTCAATGTAGGAAGATTCTACAAAACCATTTTGTTTTTATCATTCATATGATTAAAGGACTACTATATTGAAGCATTTTACAACTATTTTGTTCACATATTATTCTGAGATTAAAATTGCTAATGAACATTACTGAGGATTCTTTCTGGTTTGGTACAGAAAGGTCTATGGGGGCAGGGGGTGACACTAATTCTTGGTGATATCTTTTTATTTAGCATTGAAACACACTATGGACTAAGCCACCAGAGCTCCTTTGACTCGGGAATCTGGACATCAGCCCAATTCCTCTGCATCTTGGTCAGTCTGGTGGTTTTCCTAAATAGCTTAAAACAGAAACAATACCAATGTAGGTCACAAGGC